GATTTGTGAACAGAAAAGACTAAGTTCAATCACTTTTCATATTATCGTGTTCAAACTCAAATGTAATACGTCAATAGTCATCTTAATTCTGGGATAATCTACTTTGATTGATCTACATACATCTTTTCTCCTTTATATTTTCGTAACTTTTGTTATTGTTATATGCTATATATTATTGTAATAATTATCACAATTACTATTACCATCAATCTTGTGAAAACACTAAGAATTTGATTACCTATTATCCCATTTTATTATCCCATATTATTGTAGATACTAAGTATTCTTTGACCAAACAATTTGATTTGATTTGCAATTACATAATAGTTTCTTTCACTCTGGATTAATCAACCTTTTAATTTCATTTAATGTATAAACCTATTTCAGTTAACATTAGGTAGTAATCATTTCAACATGAACAATTCTATTTTAAAATGTTTTATATTTCTATACTGGATTATTTGTCTTAAATTTGACTATTCTTTTGAAACCAACACTTGCATTTATAAATGTAGAACTTGATGTGAATATGAAGAGAAGAATATTCTTTATTCAGATATTTTCTTTAAGAGATTCGATTTATTGATTGAAAGCCAAGAAGAAAAAAAAAGAGTCCCAATCTATTCATTACTGTTGTTTATCTTTGAAGTTAGATTATGTAAAGCAATAGATAAGTCTGTCAGTGGAATTCTTCATTTTAAAGCTTTTGTAATAAAGATAAATTGTTTCATTGTGAAAAGTATTCGTTAATGCGTTCCCGTTTTTTTGTCGAATATAAATATCAACGACTTAATAATCATTACTGAAGTTAATTCAAGTTAAATATAATTTTAGCGGCGGTAAAAAAAAACAACTAAACGGATAAATGTTTATTCAATAGTAAATAGGTCTCGTGGGACCAATTCTGAAGAAAAACAGTACGATGTGGAAACAAATTGCTGCTAGATGAATGACAACTTAATATTATATCTATGATTTTCTAGAAATACGATTTCATAATTGCCTATTCTTAAGCTTTCATTTTTCTTAAATGATATTATGAAGTAGTCATTTGATTTAGCAAAGGTGTAGTGAAGATAGTGAACAACTCAATACTGGCTTAATTAGTGCAAACTGATCATAGTACCAGTATAAGCCAAGCTTTCACAATAATTTATCACGTCAGTATTTTTTTTTACCAAAGTCTGTCAGACTCGAAGTCCTTCCAACGACAGAAGTAGCAGCCATTCGGATTAAATGACTGAAGCTACGTGTATAAAAGAAATAACTCCAACCGCTTCTCTTACCTTGGTCAATTTCATGCCCAATTAATCAATACCAGTCTTAACTAGTGAATGTCATAATTTGACCAATGTACTTAGGACCTTTCTTAATCATATTTACTTTTCTTTGTTATCTTCATTCATATATCTTTGTATTATTATCATTACTATTATTAGTATTAGTGTGATTATGATTTGTTTAACATCAATAATAATTTCCCGAATACATGATTAATTTACTTATCACTCACCCTTTTTTATTATTTCTTCCACTAAATGCTTGACCGAATCTGTAATTGTATTATCATTTCACTCACCCTATCCAAACTATAATTATTCCGGTCATTAATCGCACAATTCCATATAACGTATAAACTTGTTCAAGGTGACAACGCATATTGGTCATCTCAACATTAATAATATTTCACAATCCTAAATTCACATGCTATAATTTTAAAAGATGTATGTTGCCTTAGTCTTATCCATATTATGGATTTTGAATTAGGATATGTTATTGTAAAATCTAAAGCGAATTGATGTATACATATATTAGTGTTTTAATATGATGAGGATTTTGTAAATAGTTGTTTAACTCCGTCAAACTAGTGTTTGTTGGATACCGGCTCGGTGGTCTAGAGGTTAAGAATTCACCAGCGAGACCGAGGGTCCTAGGTTCGAAACTCGAGGAGGGATCGTGGACGTGCACCGCTGAGCAGTCTCTTACTAGAACAAAAAGACCGTTCAATGCTTCCAGGTTTTCAATGATGGTTTGAAATGGATCTATTCACGATCTTAATAAAAACTCAACAATCTCCACAACCTTATCGTGATAATTAGATATTTGTTAAATGAACAATTGGCAAGTCACCTATATGTTGAACAATGAGAACTGACTATTAAATGGAGTTAAACAGATTTTTTTCAACCTCAATCTACCAAACGTTAGAAAACATTACTTTGAAGACCATTTAGTGAACTCTGAAGAGTTTTTACAGTTAACATAATCTGAAACTGACTTAACATGACGTAAACCTGCGTGTGAATTTTGTTAACGACATCACAGTGATGCGCATGTCACATATCGGTCTTCTCTGCTTGACGCCTAAGTGATAAGGCGTGTACACGAAGGTTTACAGATAGTTATTATTGTTCCAAAAGAAATAGTGTACATTTTAAGTCTGATGAATAAGTTAGGCAGAACACTTATACCGTTTGTGTTGATAAAATTTTAAAAGAATTTCCCTTGAAGTTGACTTTGAGTTACCGAAAGAGATCTTGCAAATTATTGCTTGCTTTCATCCAAATTGAACAAATAGATAAAATAATCACACAAATTCAGAGCCTGTAAGTGTGAGAACCTGTTTGGTTGAATAGAAAATGACACTAATTTTAATGACTAATTTTGAGAGGTTGGAGAAAACTAAGAGCTTATGGGCATAGTTTTGACGGAGTTGTGTTCACTGAGCTGAGTGATTCAATCGTAATGCTTAATTGTCTTACTAGACCTTGATTTTGATTGCTTTTGTAACAGCAAAACTGTTAACAATAGAAACAGAAATCAGGGTTAACAGGACAGACTGTTGGTAATATGTGGATAAATTCGAATAGCTAACTTCTAACTGAATTTTGTAGTGACGATACTGTTTAAAAAAAGAATGAAAGCTTCACTATTAAATCCCCTAGTTCAAAAAATGTAATTCCCCTCATAAAATGATTGATTCTTCCATGCCTACATAACTATTACCCTCAGTATTAATCATATGAACGATTGGTTTAAACGTTCAACAGCATTAGACAATAAATTTCGAACAGTCTGTCGGTAATAACTTAGGTCAATAACTGAATAATAGTAAACAGTAATAGACTTATTCACAAATATCACTGAATTACTCCTACTAATAATCAAACTAGTATGCCTTACGAAGAGCGTTTCTTCATAATATAAACTACAGAATTTATCCACAACACTGATATAAGAAGACCATTTCGCAGTGACCAGTGGAGTTCATCCAGGTCTGTTGTGAGATATTAACTCACTAAAGGAAATGGTGGACGGTCAGGCAATTTAGTGGATTGGTTGAAGTTATACATTTACGCCGTTGGATGTCGTATCAGTGGTCTAGAAGTTAGGTGCAAGACTAATAGGTCCTGGGTTCGAAACTCGCTAGGCGGGATCGTGGGTGCGCACTGCAGAGGAATAACATGCTAGGACGAAACGACTGTCCAGTGCTTCCAGGTTTTTCATGGTGATCTACTTTTAATTGCCTCATGAACTCAACCCCTTTCTGATAATGACTTCGTAAAAGCTAAGGAAACAGTAGTTATTTAATGTGACAGAATGGAAATTAGAGACTTCTATACACATATATTTAATAAAATTATCGGAATGTTTGTTATTGTCAGAGTATTTTTTTAATCTTTTGGCTTGAATTGTTTTGGTAACAAATTATTTTCCATAGACAACATTTTCAAATAGAACGTTTATTAGTTTATTACGATGAAGTGAACAATCTAACACTAAATACTATAAGATTAAAAATAATTTTGAAGGGACTACATTTATAGTTCTTGTCAGAATTATGTTTGCCTTACATTTCAAGTAACTACTGCTAATTAAAGATTCATCTATCTCAAAGTTTTCTAATAATGAGGTAGAACAAAATCTGGTGGAACTATAGTTTATAAACGAATCAATCAGATCTGAGATAGTAGATCTTACATTTTGACATGAAATCCATTCATTCATGTGATTGAATAGCATTTTGTCATTATAGCTCATTTCAGTTCATGATGTCAGTCAGTCAGTCAGTCAGCTACAACGTAGGACCAGGCACATGTATGCATCGGTCCAGGTTGCCATACCTCATTAGCACAGCAAGATGAACACCGGATTCATAGAAGTGGTTAGGTTAAAGGTGGTAATATATAGGAGAAAGATTGCATATAAGGATACAGTACCGGAATATGGAATTAGTTCGTAGAAAGAAAGATATGAAGTGATTTTAATCTCTTAGTTTAAGGGAAGACAGGGAGTGTATACACCGACGCCATTGTGACCGATTCTAAGCCATGTCACCAAGAGTCTCCAACCATTGGTTACTATAGTCACGCGGACCCCAACCAAGTAGTCTGCATCTACCAACATGGCTCGGACTAGAGGTTAGTGTCTTCAAGCACTGATGCCACGTTCTGATTTGGCCGCCCCTAATTCTCTTCCAACCATCTCTAACACCCGTTAGCATTGCACGACGTGGTAATCGGTGTTTATGATGTAACCTTAACTCTAATTTTCAACCCAAACATTCAACTTTAAATCCTAATCCTAATTCTAATCTTCATATAACCCTTTTAAAAAAAATAGATGGATATTCTAAAGGTCAATTAACCATAACTCATTGATCGTCCATAAACTATAGTCTCATCCAAAATCTTCATTATTTCAGATCTAGTGAATTCCTTATAAAATTCATGAAGCTTGATTATCATTAAAATATAGTCTTTATATCATTTTGAATAACGAAATATTTGCATGATAATATTGGTAGCTTAATCTTTAAAGAATCTTAATCATAATTTTGATCAATATAATTAGCCTAAGGGTAAAACTGTTAACATAATCAATTAATTTCGGTTACTTATTTGATTAAACAGAATAATGTTATTGACTTTTCATTGATTATTTAATTTGAGTATTAAACTTATAATACAAAAAAATTTCTGTTTTCTTTTTTTTTCTAGGCCAGGTTTAAGATGGGGTATACCACTTGGAGTAATTGTTACTGTTATAGTATTTTTGACAGTTAGTTATACAATTCAAGTATTTCGAGCTTGTGATAGATGTTATCATGAATGTCCAATATTTACACCAATACCAAGTAAGTCATTTGTCATTATTATTATTATCATTATTGTTAGAATAGTGTTCAAATTTTGTGAAAAAAAGTCTAATATACTGAAATCTTGAGATGTTTTTTCTGCTTTCTTCTACGAAGCTTTATTGATAACATTATTGTCAACATAATCATCATCATCATCATCATCATCATCATTATAATCCCTCATTTATTTGATTCGTTCTGTAAAATAAGTTTGCAACTACGATCCCGCAACCGGCAATCGAACCATGGACCTTCAGTCATGCGCACAAGAACGCTTAACCTCTAGACCACTGATACGGTATATAAATACGTAGAAATATGTTCATTTATTTTACTTACTATAATGAAACATCTTTCATTTCCGATGTTCATACATGCGTAATCTACTTCTTGTGATAAAAATATTGAGATAATGTTTTAGTTTGCAAATGTTTTGAAACAATCAATCAAAGTTTATTTTGTTTTATTAAAGATGAAATGTTAAATAATTTTATGTTAATCATTTTAGGCATATAAGAAATGAATAAATATTGTAAAGATTATAGTTCTTCAAGAAGTTTAGAAAAATATATGAATTACTGTTTGTTTTACAAGTTTGCAGGACTAGAAAATTTTTGAAATAATGATTATCAGTCTGGGGTTATGGAGATTATTAAGTTTCTGATCGAGATCATGAACCGGTTGATGTTAGACCACCACTGAAAACCTAGAAGCACTAAACGACTGTATCGTCCTATGGTAGCACTCAGCGATGCGCTTCCATGACCCCACTTGCGGGATTCGAACCCAGGACCTTCAGTTTTGCGCGCAAACGCCCAACCTCTGGACCACTGAGCCTGCATCCAACGGTATTAGTGTTTAACCTTAACAAATCCACGAAATTTCGCGACCATCTCCCGTTGTACTGAGGTACATACCTGTTTCTACCTGACATGGATTAGATACACTGGTTACGGCTTCTCGCGCAAGCAGGATCGTGGATGCACACTGCTGAGGAGTTCTACAATAAGACGAGTTCATCTAGTCTGTGAACGAAACTTATACACTGTGAATTTAAAGGAATTATTGTTGAATGAAAATCATAATGAATAAATCAATCAAATTTTAACCTTTCATCCAGTCATAACACAATGGAGATCTGACGTCAATCGATTCATGATCTCAAACAAAAAATAATTGCTATTCATTCACCGCTTAATTTTATCAGTGAAATAAATAAATTGAAATTTCACTTCGAACTAAAAAAACAATCTAAACGAAAAAGAAAAATCTTCATAAACGAAAACATTCAAAAAGTATACCCTTTATTATATACTGATCAACTTTTAATTACTTCCTCTGATGGTTTGTATTATGGATTGTTGTTCTTTTCAATGTCATACACATACCTATACAAAGACACATTCACAGATCTCCACAGTTTAATAGAAAAATAAAGACAAATACCCACATCAAAACACTAAAAACACAATAAACAAACCACTTAATTCATCTTATACTAATAAAGGAAGTCGAATAAATGTTTTATCGATCTGATATCTTTTATTTCATTACATTCTTATTGCATTAAACTATCCAATTCAAATAACACAACATAATCAAGTTAACAACAGTCCTTTATTAAAAAAATTTCAAACTTAATATTAATTGTGAGTTGCTTGAAGTCCCGTTGAAAAGACATATGAATGGGAAAACCAACTAAATTAAAAGTTATGTAGTTCTTAATAGCTGTCACTAACTGAAAATTGTATGATATTGTGAATAGACTAAAGATGAAAAATGTGAAATTCTGCATATCAGATCAATGATTGAATGTATTCATAGTTATTGAGAAATTTGTAGATCTTGAGTTCTAAGCTTAATAAGATAATGAGTGTACAATGTCAATTAGTCCCAAACTTGAACGAAGTAATTGTATAGTGTTTTTTGGATTTCAATTAGTTTTTGAAATGATATTGTAGTGAAGGAGAACACTGGTGAGAACAACCGAATTATACTTAGAACAAAATTATATAGTTCCTTGGTAAAAATAGAAAAACCATACTATAATACTTCATTTGCAAAATGTTCAACAATTGTCTCAATCTTCGTTGTTCTTGCATTTCCATACTAATTTCTTTCTATTCCCGCTCTTTTCCTTTCTTGATCTTCCCCATCTTCTGCTGCCAGACATTACACTCCTGACTCGCGTCATATACTACTTATATCAATATAAATAGCACTCACCACAATATCATTTCTTGATGGAAATTGACTGAAAATGTATATGAATGACTATAAAACATTATTATGCTACATGCATTTTACTTACATATTTTCATAATACTAATAAGTAATAAAGAAAACGTTCATTTGTAAAGGTATAAGATTGAGATGGAGTTATTTATCGATTGGAATAACTACATTTCTATTATTTATTCAGTAGAAAGACAATACAGTAGTATTAGAAACAAATCTATGATTGTCATGATGATTTATTCATATTTTCATGGGAATAAACAATCAACAAATGACTGATAGTATAACTGATACAGAAAACTATTGACATAAATGTTTAATGCCTTAGATATTCAAGAAAATTAATCCGGTTGATTTATTTTATTCTCTATATCATGTTCTAATTCATTCGAATAGTATCTAACTCGGCTTTATCTTTTCGGTAAGATAATGTTGATGTGAATTGTCATATATTGACAAAATTTACTGATATTTATCCAATGAGTTTAGTTGTAAGAAGCATAAGACTAGGGATGTGTTTTAATACACATTAATGCTAAAAAGGAGGAAAACAGGTCAGAAGAAACAATAATATTTATTTCAGTTTATAAATGTAAGAAACTTAATCAGAAAGAAATTAATAAGACGGTAGAATGAGAATCATGAAGTGAAACAGAATCAGGTTCTAAAAAATATTGTGGATAAATGCAATCAAATAACTGAAACAGATTTCGGCCTATCTCACCTAATCTATAGCAACAAACTACAATCAGTTTCCAAACGTACATTGATTCATAAGTCTTAAATTCACAGTTAGTAATTTTATGAACTCATGTTGCGGTTTATTTTACGCCTTCATTAGCTTTCATTGTTACTATTCTTGCCCCAGTCCCAGTTGTGATAGGTAGTGAGTGACTAGTCATTCATAACATAAAAGCAAGGATTGATGGCTCCATCAATTGCTTTTAACTATAACTTAACTCCTAACCTCAAACTTGTTTACTTAGTAGTCCTACCAGACTCAACCAATGCTTCAAAGACATCACCACAAAAATGTAACGTTTCATATGACCGGTGATTAATATAGCGAGAACTGTTATGCAATCAACTTATCTTAAGACAGATATTATCTATAATCCATCACTGCAAAAATAATAACGAAACTATTTTTTGTGAAATTCAGTTTATTTTCATGTAACTATGTACATATATATATGTATATACGTTTTTAAATATCATCGTAGTTGTTCACTTAATCAAATTAAGTAACTTTGTGCTTATTATCTATTCATACTCATTTGATATAGATGATGCTGAATTCCAGTGGGATACTCGTAAGTCTTCCTTCACTACTTATTATTCTGATATCGTTTTTCCTTTTTATAAAATTCATGGCAATGAATATTAAATTTTTTTGTTATTTTCTGCTGAAGAATTAGATTCTTTCACAAAATAACCAATATGTTTATGAAAGTCTAAAAGGATTACTGATTATTAAAGAAAAAAGTTGTCCTAGAGCTATTAATAACAAGTTTCACACTTGACTCGTAAATGTTTCTTCAATGAGATTACTACAGTAAAAAGAAAACGTTTTCTTGCTAGAGTTATATATATATCAAGTAACAACCAGTATCATGTCTGCAATGTCAACATAACTGATGCTTCCTGTGAAATTTGAACCATAGTCACCCAGTATTACTTACTATTCTGACTGAATTGATTAAACGTTGAGATTTTATCCAATCTCATTTACAAAAGTAAAAATGATAGAATCTCTAAAGTTTTAATCATACAACAAGCACAAACACGAAGAATCCTATGGTTTGTAAGTAGCAATGATAAATTGAAGTTGTTTATTTAATAAAACATATCACAGTATTATAAAAACCTCACAACTATTCCTTAACATTTGGACCTTTTAAATCGGTACAATTTACTTTTATTATGACAGTCGAGATAACAAATATGAAATAAACGATAATTGATCATTCATATATATGATTTCATTAAGATTCAATTTTATAGCTTTGTCATCAATACCTTCAAGAACCAGTACTGAAAGTCGATAGTCAATCATAACTTATCTCTATTATTCGTTTCTAAAACCGCTACAAGTCCTAGCTCCTGACTGTATATTATAAAGTAGAATTAGTAAAAATAATGTCTCATATATATAGCGGAAGGTTATTTCAAATGTTCACTTCAAACAATCCAAGCAGGGAATAGTAAATCAAGTGAATGATTAAATATGATTTAGTATTTACGAGTACGTGAATAAGTTGCCAACATTAACATATACAACATGAGTCTAAGTAATTCATGTTTAAGAAGACAAGAGGGATAAATGCGTGGGCTGGTAAGTACATACAATCATAAACATTCATTTATATAAGTATATAACTCATATAAATATCAGAAATTTCTAAAACGTCATGGTGGTCTGTTGAAACATCACAACTGCTCAGTTGTCAATTGAATATTTTTTCAAATAATTGAGACATCTATTACCTTATGGAACGTAGTTCTTAGACCATTAGTGTAGTGTAGTCTCGCGAAGATAGAAATATCATTTATTTGCAAAATTAACATATCAGTTAAAATTAGGCCATGATTAGTTGCTGAGAGAAAACAAAAATATCTAGCTACTGCCAATACAAAACACTATATTTAGTAACAATATCGAAGCTCAGGATCCACATATGCCGAAAGAGATTAATCAATTGCAACACTTAACATCAATAACAATGAGAAAATTAAAAGAGTCCTTACAAATGAGTTTAAACTCAGTAGTTAACTGAATAACGCGTTAAGCATTCAAAGTGTAAGGTACTGGGTTTAAGCCTCAGACTAAATATTAACAATGAGGTGTAAATACATATAACTGTTTAGTTTTACGCTGGATGAAACACAAGTCCTGAACACTACTGATAAGCACTTTCAAAATTTCCATAAGACACTATATTATTTTGTTACTCACGTCACTATTATTTCATTCATCTTTTTCCACATTACCAAAAAGTATTGAGTTGAGAAATCCTTACTGTTATAATGAAATGAATAGTAGTAAAGGATTAGAACGTCATCATATATAAATCAATGAGATATAAATTTTATCTATATCATTATATGATAGCTTGCATTATTCTTTTGTTGAAGTTGTCGCCTGGATTTTTATCGATCTTTGTTAGCATACGCTCATCCTGTTCCGTACAACGCGATGTAATCATTTTGTTTCAGGTTATGTCGAATACTAAAGTTCGCATCATGGACTAATCCTGGTTAAATAACCACTACGAAATTAAGGGTTATTGAAACCTACTTCGTTCTAGTATGAGACAGGTTTAGGAAATTCAGATCTAGGTGAAAGCCTTTAACCTTTAGCCTACTGAAACTCCATCCAACCATTTGTATTACACAATTATCTGCCAATGTCATTAGTGAATAACTGTCTCGCACTCAACATGACTGAACTTGCTTCCTAGCGTTCAGTGGTTATCCAATTAGGGTCAGTCACTATTGTTAATTATAAAATACTAACACTCTAACAAATCCCTTATGTCAGTCATGTAGAACAGATGGATTATGTCTAGTACTAGAATTAAAAAACGCATGTATTATCCTATTTGCGACTAATAGGCTTTTGAAGTATGTTCTCAATGGGATGAAACGTGAGTCCTGAATTTTACTACCAACGACAATCCATATATTACATTCAACTTCTATTTCTTTTATTCGATTCTTTAAAGAGAATCATTCATCAAATAATAAATCTGTAGGATACCGATATTACGAGACTGTAATTCTTGTTGAGATGATTGAGAAAATTTGTAGGTCAGGTGGATGATTTTGATAGAATTTTATTTTCTGTGATGGATAGTTCGTTCGTGGAGTTTTCTTCATTCTTCTGAACGCCATCATCAACACAAAGCTCAGGTGAAAGTGAAGTATTCAAATTTCTCTAAATATGGTTCACAGCTTGTCATACAAAGATCAATTGTCTTGTTGAAATGAATGTACATATCTAACTAATCAGATATACTTCAATTTGAAACATTATCAAAACACTTCGATACAAATTGAATAAATCCTAAAAAAAGTTAGAACAATAGTAACAATTCTCATCTATTCAATAAGTTTATTAAAACAGTAATTAGTTTCTATTATTATTAACTTTTTACAAAATAAATGGATGGTCTAATGGTTAAGCGTTCGAGTGCGAGACTGATAGATATTGGGTTCGAATCTTGCAAGGCGGGGTCATGGATGCGCACTGCTGAGGAGTTCCATACTAGGACAAAACGGCCGTCCAGTGTTTCCAGGTTTTCCATGGTGATCTAGCTTCAATTAACTCATAATTTCAACTAATGAAATAAATAGATTGTCAAATTCTTTTTTAAACAATAACTATACTACTATATTATCTAATTGTAGGTTGGTATACTGTATCACATGAAGGTAATCGATATGGTGTAACATTTCATAGTCGAATATTTGCTAATGAATTTATGAAATGTTTAGAAGCTGAATATGGTCGATGGAATACAGCTAATATATTAAAAATACAAAGAGATGGACAAAATTTTGTTATTTTAAATATATTTTTTCATGATCTTTTTACACCATGGTTTTATACACAAGGACCTATTAAAAATGATGAAGAATGGATTCGAACAGATTTTAAAAATATTTGTCATACAGTACAAGGTAAGTGTAAATTAAACATTGAAATGAAACAAAAGTACATAGTATATATCTTTCAGATAGAATGTAAAGTATGCTAATTAGTCATTGATTATTAACTAATGTCATGTATTATAAGCAAAGATGGATAGTGGCTTGAGATCAAGTGAATTAAACTTCACCCCATCGCACAAGCAAGCGGCTATCAGGACTCAGTAGCGGAGTGGATAACGCAATGGCGTTTGAAGCGAACGGTACTGAGTTCGAGTCCCAGAGTGAACATCAACTCTGAAATGCAGGTACATCCGGCTGACGATTCCCAAACAGGACGAGACGAGCATCCTGGATTCCACTGCTAGCCATTATCCATCTTTGCCTATAATGCTTGTAAATTAATGCAATATCGAGGCATACGCACAGTATGCAAATATGCCAATAACACACTGATCAATTGCAGTGCTAAAACATCAGTGGGAAGATTCAAGTAGATCAATATATATATATATATATATATATATATATATATTAGTCCGAAGCCATGGTGATAAACTAAGTGAAATAAAATATTTCTTCGATCTATTCATCTTTTTGCTAATTTCTAAATGAGGGCTTTTCCTGTCAAACTGGTAGTAAGTAGGGGTTCGTAAAACTCGTCTGAGGCAGTAGAGTGCAACTACTTAGGGACTACGATAGATATCATCGATTGCAGAGGATGATATTCGTGCAATATCGCCTAGTTGCTGTCGTGAGACCTACAAATCATTAGATTCCAACTACAGAGTTTGAAAATCAAGTGCTTACTACGTGACTGGAAGGTTCTGAGTTCCATCTCTGTTAAAGTCTTGGATGCCTACAGTTGGAAAGTCACATTCTAAGACGAAATCTATGTCCAATACTTCTTGGTTTTCAATTGTTATCAATCTAATCCCAGTTTGTGATGCAAAACTATCAAATTAATTTAATTAAATCGGATTGTATGTTAGAGAAATTACAAGCAACAATAGTATTTTAGTATATATATTATTATTAATTAAATAAACAATAGTGAATATTATACTATACTGTAACTCCGATTAGTCACTTTATTATTGAATCTTATGCACAGAAACGTAACATACGACTAGTCTTATCTTCATTTCTTCATCAGTTAACTGAGAACAGTGTCGAAAACAAATTTAAAAAGAAAATGACTTTTTCAAAAATAGTTTACTCTTTTTGGATTTACATTCTATTACAATTAGTCTTCTTTCTGCCTATTCTTCTACTCGATAGCTCGATTGGCTGTGAACCCTCGATTCAAATGGAATAAATTTTCAAAAAATTCAACAAATAAAACATTAAAACAAACAAATCAATCATCAATTAACACAAATATATCAAATTTAGACAAGAAAAACAGTGATCGTTTATCAAATCCTAATACTGTTACAACACCATGGACACCATGGACTAAAGTAGCTTATATTCCATCATTAACTGAAACATCGGTTAAAAAAAATTTGACACGTAATTCAAATAAAAGTAAATATAAAATAAAAAATGAAAATAAAACTAATCAACTGGTCAATGTAATCATATTAGAAGATATTATTGAATGTAATGGTTTAGATAAAGGTGTGCAAACGCATCAAAAACGATTACAAACACATAAAACAACAATTGATCCAATTGTATAGATGGTATATAGTGTATATTGATGCAGTAAAGATTATTGTATGATACTGGTTGAATCAATTACTCATACTTTACAGTTGGTGAATATCCTGGATAAAATGATACGATCATCATACTTATTTTTAAAAAATAATGTAAACCTATTGAAAACTATTCAGAAATGCTGTAATGGAACTTTCACTTTTCATACAAAACTTTCAATGACACCTAACATGTTTAGTGATTTTGTTGTGATTTTAAAACCTCATGTATTTATAAATTGAATGTAATTTGTTACAATCACTTGTGTTTTTTATATAAAATTTACAAATTAGTCTGTTGTCTACTTTGTATAATTTTATTGGTATTGTAGGGCCAGTGAAATTCCACTGAGCCCTAGCTAAGTCATCCGGCAGTTGGGTCATTGAATGTCGAACAAATCATCGATCCTCGTCAAGGTAAAGGACAACTAACGCCCATCAGTTAATCGTATGCCATGGACTAGCCCATGCGACAGTGGTCTTACTTTCGCTTGTATCTACCTTAACTAATATATTTCTGTAATAACGTCCTCTGTGTTGTACAGTCTTCAAAGCATCTATGGTACCTTGATACGTCAATGGGGTAGTCCACGTAAGGTGCTGACCACGAGGTGTAACTTCGACGTTAGCTAGTTTATCACACTAATCACGTCTAACTCAAGTAGGCCTCCAATCATTTTGACATAGATCATCTACGTTGGTGATCAATAGTATGTATTTGAAACAAGTAAAATGGTGACACTTGTTTGCAAATGTCTATAAACTACTACTTTTAGATATCGAACTGGGATACGTGACCCTGCTATCCCTCCTCTAAACTCTTCTTGAACTAAATCTAATAACATGTTTTGTTACTTCTGACCATAAAAACTATTTTTCTCTTACTGTCATTGTCGTTGGATGAGTGTGCCTCTCAATATATTCAAAATATTTGTGTTACGTACTCTGTAGATATTTGTAAGCCCCCTCTGGGTACCAGCAGATACCTGTAAAATAAAAGTATCCTAAATTGTTCATGTATGTTATCGATCAATAGAGTAATTTCATTCATTCATTTTGACAATTTTAAACTCGTTCTATATTCATCAAAAACCGATAACTCTTAACAGTGACGATAAAACTGACTATTAAGATATTAATTACATTGCGTGAAAGGAAATTAGACTAATCCAACCACACAAAAAAATTTCAACAAAGAACTTCTAAACACTACTCACGAAGTAGTAGATCTGAAATAAATGGAACAGCCAAGTTGTTGAAAGCAGTCATAAGACTGAGTCCAGTGATTGGCTTTAAATCACTCCAAAATCAAGCCTATTTGTGGAGTAATAGTTAATATTTCTTGAAGATTATTCAGCATTATATTTAGAATCTTCAAATTTGGCTTCACAATAATCAGACAAGTTTATAATGTACGCTCCTGATTAGCCCTCCAAAAACCACACATTAAACAAGCTAACGTAGAGCTTCAAGGTTCTCGGGTACAAACAAAAAAATGCTTCATGTGTCCAAATAGTTGTACATCAAATCATGTGATAAATGCTAACTAACACCATAGAAGGAAGTGACGGTAAGAATTTATTACCCCTTAACACTCAGACAATGATAGATGAGCGTCTAGAGTATTATGATAGTGGTACACTTGCAGTCTAGAGACGGGGAAAAAATATGGTTTTCAAGATAACTGAAGGATATATGAAAGAAGACAAGAGATTTTTCATTTTATAAATGTTTTAAAAATGGATTCCATGTCATCTTGTGCGCTGGCGATATATTATGAGGAATAATTAAGCTAAAGACTCAGATCTTAATTTCACTGGCACTTGAGTGACCTGTGGAAATTGTATCTTTCCATTAGTCACCTTTCAAAAGTCTTCTAATTATGTTTATTGTTATGTTTGATATTTTGTATGCAGCAGTATTATTTAACTGGAAAGAATCTATGCTAGTTGCTAGTGCTCTTACGTTTTACAACATCATGTTTGCCTATTGACAAAAATAATCCTGTTTCGTGGGTAGCAATCATTCGGCAATATCGTATAGTTGCGTATCATTTATCCATCATCATCTTACTAATTGATTACAACAATTCTTCAAACGAGACCTCAATCATTAAGTCATAAAACATAAGAGTATTTTCTACAGAATTATTTAAATTAAAGATTTTAACGTCTTATTTACATGCTTCTTGTCCTCAGGGCAATATTCTGTAGTTTTTATAATTCTAAATAGCTAAAACACTATTACTATTACTCTTCTGAAATGTTATCCATATTCAACATTTAGTTGCTCTCCTACTTTTGATTTAATAGTCAAACAATGCATCTCCAAATGGAGAAGCATCCATTATAGTTATGAAGTAGTCAACTATGCTTGGAATAAATATAATTATCTGTTTGTGTGGTTTACCGATTTGGAATAATAACAACTCTCAGTAACTCATTTAATAACCTGTCACTCATACTAACCAAAAGTTCTTATCGTTATCTAGAAAATAATTTTACTCGAACCCAGTCGAAGAAAACTCAAGAATTTCGAATATTCGGCTGCGATCTCCAATAACATCTGTAAATATCGGTTCGTACACATGATTCTGAGCTGTTTAGATAATTTTCTTCAAAGACTAAGTTATCCATTAAATGAAAGTATTTGCCTGAAATAAGATTGTCTGGTAGATAACTGATATTTATGCTCTTCATTCACAAGCAATCAAATATTTATTTTGCTATTTATCCCTTCAGATTACAAAGACAAGAAATGAATGCTTCACATAACATATTGGTTGAACTTTGTAATGAATTTCGGCATTTTAACTGTCTTAGTCTCCAGAATATTAATCGGTTTGGCAGTAGGAAAAATTTGTAAACAAACCAAATGATCAAATCAGTAAGCGCAATCATTGAAAATATTCACAAAAGTTAGGATATTTTAACCGAATCGAGTTAAAGATGGTTGGTGGCTAGCAATGGAATCCAGGACGCGTTTTTCGTCCTATTCCGGACTTGTCAGCTGAATGTACCTTCATCCAAGAGTTTATGTTCACTCTGAGACTCGAACACTTTGCTCATAATACTTGTGAAACAAAGGCAATATCGAACCAATCCCCACAGGATGCACATAAGCCAATAAGAGACTAATCGATTGCAATGCTAAACATCAATGGGAAGATTCAAACAAACAATACCGAATGAGTTTAAAATCAAATTAACCACGTTTTCAAATGATTAACAAAGTAAAGTTATCAAATAATATGAAATGAAATCTACAAATAGATAGGAACATTTAATATACTAAGAATTGTTTAAAGAATAACGGGAATTCAACGCAATAAAAACCAGTCGAAAAAAAGAAAACAATATTTGAACAATAAAATGCTCTCAATGATACCTTTTAATTCACAGCTCCATAGTTACAAATCGATAAAGAAGAAATCCGAAAAATCATATCTTTTAAGGTAACGACCTCTAATCAATAGTTTAAAATCGTCTGTACAAAAATAAATATAAAATTTGAATTGCTCTGTTATGGCTTGTATGGTAATAACAATTATTATAAGAAATATTATATATTTTATGAAATCTCAAGGTATGATTATAAATATATAATAGGGGGTTATACAAATATCAGTGAATAAAATAGGAGGGTAATATTTATCATTTGTACTGATAAGATTGAACTAGGAATGAGACGATTCTATGAACTAATATAAATAAATGACTTGAACGCATCTCTTTTATACACATATGTCTGTTTTCTAGGAATCATTGTCAACTGTTTCAGTTATATACAATAAGCATAATATTGAAATCTTCATTAGATTATACTAGATTTGTTTTTTAACTGAGATTTCATTTGCAGTTTTTACATTATATATCTTTAGTCGATTAGACTTAGTGATGCTAACCTGGCATGCATGTGTTCACGAGAAACTAAAGATAAGACCCTTCCAATATGCTTTATCCAACTAGTTTAGTTAGTATCAATCATCATGAGTTGATTATTTAAACTTATTATTAGAAACTCTTCAGACAAATGAGTTAACAAAACTTATGTTATATAACTTAGTTAAACAGGAAAGAACTATACTATGTAAAACAAAACAACCTAACTATAACTTAATTCAATATGTTTATTTCTTTTTACCCATGAATATATTACGATAATTTCAAGTCTAAATGTATTTTGATTAAACATTTTACAAAGTTATTTGCTTCAGCAAAAACAAATCCTTTAGTTGGTGGATCAGTGACTCAGCCACTCGATAGCTATTCCGGTTCGTTGTCCCCAACTCTGCTAACTCGATCAAGAAGTCTGGGTAAGGTGTAGGAGTGTATTCTGCAGACTCACAGCAGATAACAAGTCAAGTCAAACACACAACTCAAGCGTATTTATACAATATTTACAATCGATATTGTCATAGAAAATTTTTAAACACTAATCAATGAGTTCATAAATTGACCTATTTGCACATTTAATCGATAGTTCATCAATTGACCTATTTGCACATCTCATTGATAGGCCCATCAACTGACTGCTATACAAACATTTAATCGATCAGTTCATCAATTGACCTCAATACAAATATTTAAACATTTAATCAATAAGTTGATCGATAAGATAAAATTTTAAAAATATGAGTTTGGGGATCTATCGTCCCCAACAATATGCCTCGAAAAATATTTAATAATTTAATAAAACTATATTCATCAGTGTATATTTATTATAATTTTGATAATTATCAACGTTGATTGAAAAAAAGAATGTTTATATGAGCACAATCTAAAACATGAATCTGTTTTTTAATGATCACATTTCGTTGATCACATTTATGATCTAAAATGTTTGATTAAATAACACTGATTCAGATCAATTTAATAATAATCATTTCCTTATGATTACATATTCATCTTGTTGATGTATGCCGCCCTGCTCCCCGCTCCCCCCCCCAAAAAAAAACGACTTAACACAAGCAGCTATCTTCT